GGTTAATTCAGAAGATTTCATGTTTTGCTTTTGAAACTTAGGAACCAAAATTTGAGAAGTTGTTAGAGAGCTTGTCAGTAGCATTCTCATCACCATCATTGTCTTCAATTAATTAACACCTAATCATAATTACTAAGAATTTTTTAACAATCATGTGATGATGATGATGATGATGCTAAATGAAACATCAATAATCTTGACAAGTCACTCACTTTTGACGACAACAATCAAGTTGTTCCATGAAACGGAATAAAAACAAAACATTGATATAAAAGACAAAAAAGCACCACTATTTCAAAGATGTCGGCATCATCATCACCACCATCATCATTCCGGAGATGGAGAGAAATCAAATATCAACTGACTTTGTCTAAAAGAAAAAAAAAAAAAAAAAAGAAAAAGCAGAGAGTAATATTTAGAAAAAGGGAAAGAAAGAAAAGAAATTGCTAGGTTAACAATCTTCAGATTTCATATATATCCATTAGCCCAGATTTTTTTTTAACTGTTAACCTTAGCAGTGGCACCAACAAGGTCAGTTGATGTGTCAAGACAATATAGCAGCTATTTTAAAAGGGTCATTTTTTTTAACATTTTAACTGAAACAAAAAAAACTGCATGTGCCCAACACAAGTAGGACAATTGTCCTTGTAATATTTTACAAACTTGGCTAACAAAGAATCTTTAAAAATTGAAAGTTACTTCTATGAGGAACAAGAAAAAAATTAAAAAATAGTACAGAAATGAAGAGCTGATTTCTTGACAGATTAAAAAAACATCACTTTTTATTGCTGTTTTCAACTAGTGTTACAAATAAAAAAAAATTAAAATTGTATAGGTATTTTGCTTGGAAACATTTTAGTGGAAAAAAAGTTTTAATTCAGCTTTGTAAAATTTATAGAAATTATTGGATGAAGAAGTTATTCCATAGACAGATAATAAAGTAAATAATCATGTATGATGCTCTTTCTTAACAAAGGGAAACATACAAAATTTTGCAGAGAAGCCAACCTTAATGTTGGAACATGTGGGGAGTTCCATTATTTGATAAAGGTTGCAGATTCACCCAACAAAATATGAATAATTTTCACTTTTTAATATTAAATTGGCTTTCCATGATGGCTTAGTAATATGTCTACGTGGCAATTTTGAAAAACTGGGGAAAATGTAATTATTTTTTGTCCTAGAAGATAGAATTAAAAATATTTGCCTTTTAAATAATAAGTTTAATAATGATAAAAAGCAATAGTCTAAATAAAATTAAACTGATTAAATGGGAGACAAGAATGTGATTTTTTTTTTCTTTTAGAAAATTGGAGATTGTTCAATATTGAAAAACTGCGATGGTTTATGGCATTCAGCATTGAAGAATTACCTTCAAAAATATTGATAAAGTTCTTAACAGGAGAAATTAAATTTATTAAATGTTTTTCTTTCTCACAATCAGAATATGTTTGTATATACATAGCAACCTGTGATAAGTCATGGCGAAATCTTAATTGTAGGATTAACTGTATCTTTGCACCAACACAGCCATTGTTGTTATAAGGCCTTCTTCATTCAATCTGAAATGAATTTAAAATTTACTTGGAGAAAGAGCCCAACCCACACTGAAAACTTCACATGAAGTAGTAATAATTAAATTACAATGTCAACCAGATGAACCTTCATAGATAAGTAATGTATATATTTATATGCTCTTTATGCATACATACATACATACATCCATTACATATATTGTATGTTTTTTATATAATTATATACATGCTCCCAAATACATGCATATACTTGTGAATTTTATTGTGATATAGTCTTAGCATATATGTGTGTATAAGACCATAGAATAGTTTGATTGTAGAAGAGGCAAAAAAAGTTTGGTGCTTATTGAGAAAAACAGGAAAACTTCTGGCAGTCAGCAGTTTCTATTAAAATGTCTCTCTACTATCAATAGCCTTCTCCCTAAACAACATTTTCTAAACCTCACAAGGTTTAAAAAAAACATTGTCATTATTTAGAGTTATTTATCAATATTATAAAACAATGAACTGATTTGCGGGAATTTGTTTTCATGAAATATAACTGATACACGCAGAAATTGGTAAAAAAAAAAAAAAAAATTGCTACAATAAATTCAACAACTTTGAAATTCAAAGTCACAACTAGAAAAGTCAATCTGGACTGATCCAATTGTTTTATTTGCATATTAGGGTCTGTGTAGGTGAGATGACAAATAAAATTAAGTATATGCTAACATGTGACACATTAGGCTGTAGTTTTCAATTCTATTAACATTGTTTATTGTATAGCATATCAACAAAACAACTATATTGTGACTTTAATAAATTCTAGGTAAAATTACTGTCACTTAAAATATCAAATTTATTTTCTCTGTACATTTTATGAAATATCTTTCTTTTTTTGTTGCATATTCAAATGTATAGGATTGAAAAGAAATGTAAAGAAAGCCAAGGACTGAGATTTGTATATTTGAAAGCTTATTTGAAATTAACAAAGTAGAAAGAAATGATTATATTTAAAAAATTATTTTAAATAAAATGATATTTTTTAGATAAAGAAGCAAGACAGCATTTGTAAAAATAATGTAGTTTTGCAAAGAAAGTAATATTGAAATTGCATTAGATGAAAATTATTACTATCTTGTGATTAAAAAATGATATACTAGTCAAATAAATATTATCAAACCTTGAAAACATTTTATTTATATTTTCTTATTACAAGAAATGAATATTAATTTTTTTTTTTTGCAAAAGGCATCCAAATATGATTGTAACCTGATCCCCAGTGTGACTAGCAATTTTACTTGTTTTTTTTTTTTTAGCATTTTATGCAAATATAATAAAATAATCAAATTGTAAGAAAATAATTTCTAAATAAATTCAATAATTGAAGGTAAAATGTAAGATTTATTATCATTTTTTAATGTTGAAGATATTGTCTGCAATGATTTTTTTCTGTACTTTAGTTAAGACCCTTTTAAACAAGCAGAAAACAACCAAATAACTCCCAATTTTATCTTTTGCTGAAGAAATATCATTGAATTACTAAATACAAGGTTCAATGAAGGATTTGTGCAGATATTTACACTAATTGAATATGACAGAGTTAACAAGTTCATGAATGTTTTAACTGCAATAGGGTACAAGATATATTAAAATTGTCATATATCAAGATGACTCAATCCAGAAGTTGAGTTAATAATACAATCAATCAAAGTGACAAAAAGAACTGTCTTTATCAGATTAGTGATGCTACCCATCTTTAAAGAACCAAAAAATAAGGAATACCATTTTCATTCTTTGTAAACACTTCTTTCTTAGAAAAGGGGATTACTAATTATTATGCCTGGACTTTGTTATTCTATGTAAATGCTACAGATTAATGTACTAAAGCAAATCAATGATTGAGGCAGTATAAGCCCTGAATTTCTCTCCCCCACAAAAAAAAAAATTACAATTTTTAGGTACAAATGTGGCTCCATTGACTTTTAACAATAAATGTGTAAAATTCTACTCAGTAATTTCACCATATTGTTGGTCTGGTTTGTAACATTTTCAAAATGCAAAGCAATGTTCATGACTTTAGGTAAACAGAACTTAGAAGGATTTGCTCTCTTTACAAACTAAAAAATCTCTACTGAAAAAAAAAAAAAAAAAAAAAAAAAAAAGAAAAGAAAAAAATATTGTTGGAAATTTTCTTATTGTTGCTCAGACCCAACAATAATAAATAAAAGATGAGAAAAATGCAGATACTATATGGGTGTGAATGTGTGTTTCTAATTTCATCTTGTAACTTTATTTCTCTTCAAAATTCATCCATTGCTGTGGACACACCTTTTGCTTTTAAATTTGGTCAAGAATGGAATTGAAGAAACACAAAGAAATCTAAGAAGATTATCGATACATTCACTGAATCATATATACATCATGTAAATACAACAAAAAAAAAAGTACTGATGCATTTGCTGTGTTGGTAATTCTAGAGTTTAAACATCATAATCGAAAAGGAACGAAATAAAAACAAACCAAAATTTTCACAAGCAAATACAAATCAGTTCCAGAAAGAAAAGAAACAAATACAAAAATCATTAAAAGAAAATCTACTTTTGATTCCAAAAATAAAAAAAACAAATTTTAAGAGAAAAATATTGGCAAGTCTAGTCAGAGCAAAGTCAATGATATTCTTTTAATATTGTGCCAAAGACACAAATGGCATGAATTAAAACAATCTAGTGAAATGGAAAGGCTGAGATTTATTAATGGCAAATAATGAGAATTGTGAGCAGAAATTTAAATTTGTTAGCATTTTTTTTTTTTTAGCCAAAGGCATCTGTCAAGAGTTTGCCTAGTATAACAATGGTCATAGACAAAACATAATGTGACCAAAAATGATCATCTAATAATAACAAATATGCCTAATCGCAACAAACAGTAATAAGGTTGGTATTGGCTGTTCAATTCTGTCTTAACATCTTGTAGTAGATGCGGAACATCTACTCGGTTGCTCATTTGTGTCCAAGTGTTGCAAGGGTTAAATAAATACATTCATTTTATACAAACATGCAAGAAAAGTTACCACATTCTTGTCAAATTAGGAAAATTAGAAAAAAAAGAAAAATTACAATTTTTTTTCCTTTTCCTGTTATTGTCCTTCATTTTTATATTTTTGCACATTTCTCTCCAAACAACTAAAAATATAGACATGATAGTTCAAAGCATTTAAAGTAACACAAAACAATGAGAGAGTAATGGATCAGCAGGAGCTAGCTTCCATCTTAGTAGCCAGTTTGGGATGACTAGCTAGTTGCTGGGAAAGAAGGAAATAATAATAATAATAATAATAAGGGTTAGAATAAGAAAGACAGGAACAACAGTAAGAACTTGTTCGTGGCCAGCATTCAATTACCATGGTTATGGCCAGTAAGTGGTCAGTATTACCATGGTTACGCAAGTTTGACAGACAACAAAGCAACTGATCTGCTGTCATTAAAACAAGAACAATGTCCATTGGCCAGGGTGCAATGGTAGCATTTGGTAGCAATGCAGGTGATGATGGGCACATGTGCAAAGAAGAGAGAAGGAAAGGATAAAAGAGTGCAGGATTAAAAAAAAGAAAAATGTTCTTTGGGAAGAGGAAGAAGATAAAGAATGAAGAGGAGAGTATGTGAAGCAGCAGTGTGTGGTCTTAGCAGTGGTCATTAATGGCCAGTAGTAGTGGCAGCAACAGCAGCAAACAGACAGGCAAGTAGTGGTGGTGTTGGGTAGGTAGGTGGTAGGTAGTTGGTCAGGTAAGGTAGGTAAAGGTAGGCAACAGCAGCGGCGGCGGCAATGGCAGCAGCAGACTTGAGGCACATCCGAGACAGCAGACGGAACAGTTGTAATTGAGATCACAGCACTGCAGAAGACGTTGATGGCAGCGGCACTGAACACAGCCACAGCTTTTTTTCACTTTAAGGTGTCACTCTGCAAGACAACAGACAGGACACATATCAAGAAAAAGCGAAAGCAGCTTTGAACATGAATCAAAGCAAGACAACAGATTGAATTATTCTTAAAATCAGTGTTAACCATTCAACCTTGACTAAAAAACAAGTGAATATCAACTTTCATTTTGTGATAGGAAGTTATTCAAATTCCAAAAGTTTTTTTTTTTAACAAATTAACTTTCACTCATTTTTGTTCCCCCATATTTTAACTGATTATGTTTTAATATATTTAATATTAATCGTATTTTAGTCTCTCATAGCAATCACATAAAATACAAAATCATTATACAATTAAAAAAATACTGGAAAGTATTTAATTATAATTTGCAACTAACTTAAGAGATATTATTTTCTAATTACAGATTTTTAACTCTTCTCAAATTGTTTCTTTTTATGAATCATAACATTTCAACTGGGAAAATATTTTCAAAGTAAATGAAACTGTGATAAATGACAAAAAAGAAAAATTATCCAGCCCTTTCAAGAATAGCTCATTGGAAATTAATATTAAATTTATATGAAATATATTAAAGAGGAAAGGATTAACTCAATATTGAATTATTTTATATCAAATTTATATTACAAAAGCGGTTTGATTTAAAGATTGTTTATTTATAAAAATGATTTATTAGTTTATATTAAAAGCAGAGAGGTATGTTTATTATTTACAATAAAATTTTAAATTTAAACAAATTAAAATGCTAGTAATGATTGTCTAAAATAGGAAATTTTCAAATATATTTTCACAATTGTATAATAGTTATGCAGTTCACAATTCAATAGTTAAAAGTTAAATTGTAATTGATGCATGAAAATTTATATTTTAAACTTTAAATATATTCTTTCATACTTAAATGGCAACATTTTGATTATTATATTTTATGGCTATATATTGAAGTAATTTTGATGCTTAATATCTTATTTATTCAGATTAAAAAATTTTAATTAGATGATTGCCCTGTGTAAGAACAATGTTAGAATATTCAATAAAATCCCTATCATAAACCTATTGATAAATAAAGAATATTCAAATAAAAAAGACATAACTTTTAAACAAACTGATCAGTATAGTAGTATAAAAGATGGTTTACTAAGTAATTACATTATACAATTGTTACAAATAAGGAAAATAAATGTAGATAAAGCATTTAATCTCCTCATAATGAAAGAACTGTTCTGCCAAGAGGTTATTTTTCTCTTCTTATGCTCTGGTTGTACAAAATAAGCTAATAATGAAAACCAGGTAAAATTTTTTTTTAATTTAAGGATAAAAGTTTGAATAATGTAATATTATTTTGTAAATTAAATTTGGAAAAAAATAAACTCAAGCTTGTACTTGTCTGAAAGCACTTAAGGAAATTTTCATAGATTTTTAAAAATACCTTAAAATTAATTCCTCTTTATAACAGAATTCCTAGACACAGTTAAATGTTTGCTTAAGTCTGCAATACAAAATTTTCACTATTTTGTAACAATTTGTTAATATCTTGTGCTTGAGTTTTCACCAAAAAATAAGTTTACAGTAAAAAAAGTGAAACAGGTGTGAAGAAGCAACAGATATTAAAAGGTGAATCTATATGCCAAGCAAAGTGATATTGTGTTGAATCTATATTGGCATGGTGAAAAAACAAAAATCAAAACATTGTTCATTTGTGATAGACAACTGAAACACTGCAGCCAAAATCAGTTTGAGAGATAAAAAATTGGATAAAGCTTCAGCAATCTAAGTTCATTTATTTTATAAAAATGATGGAAAATGAGTGCAGATTTTTAATCAAGAAATATCACATTAATTGAAAAACACTGCAGTTGAGACAAAGGAAAGAAAAATTGTCAAAACTGAAAAATTTGATTCATTTAAGAATTTTCTTCTTACTGATATTATTATTATAAAGTTTGTTCATGGGAGCTTACAAAACATAAAATTACATTTATTTCAAATAAAAATGTATAGTATATGCTTCCATTGAAAAATAATAATTTCCATTCTCCAGAGTTTGTACAGTCCAGCCATTTATATCCATGTCCTAAATAGTGAGTTTTATAGATTGTATCAGATTCAAGAAAAAATTGACTGATGTTTTAAAACCAATATCACCAAAAAGAAGCTTGCAAAGAGAGAAAAGAAAAACATTATTAACAGATAAAATTACTTGCAAAAAACATAGAATAATAAAATTGCCTTTAATTAAACATACAAGAAAAAATCAAATTCCTTGTATTTTCATCACAGCCTAAAGGCACTATTTTTTTGTTTTTCATTTTCACTAACGTCTGAAAATTGATTTCTTTTCAAAAGTAATGCGATATTATTGAGAAAAACTATTTTGCAATATAAATACACATCTATGGAATTATAATTGATGATTTTATTGATCATTATCATGCAAAAAATATAACTGGATATAAGAAGACATGTTAGTATGAGTTATATTTGAAGTTGGTGGTTTAAAAAAATAAACCAGTAAAAAGAAAGTGTGAGGGGTGGGGGACTAACTGGAGTCCACTCAACCTTCATCTCTATTTCATTTTCCAGGAGGTAACATTTCTATCTCAAATGCTTAAGAATAAATCTAAGCAAAAAGAATTAGAACCAGATGTGTATGTGTATACAAGAAACCAAAGATAGAAGAAAAAGGCAGTTGAGCAAACGTTTAATATTCTTTTAGTGGTTCTACAGATTGTTAATTGAGTGGTCTCCCTTGAAATATTTTGTGATACAGTAAACTAATTGTGTTTTACTTTTATGTAAATTAACAATTGATATTTTTTTCAATAATCAACTAAACTGTAATTCATTATTATCTTCTGATAAAATTTTTATTGATGTTATAGATCAGTAAAAATATAATAGATTTCAAATAAGTATTTCTCTATTCATTTTTTTCAGATGTCTTCAGTTTGCCAATCATGTTAATAAAAAAAGAATTATGGATTTATAAAAAAAATGAGGAAGAAAAACACTAAATATAAAAGTCATACAATATCTGATGAATAGAGAGATTATTCATTTGAAACAAGGACCGTAATGAACCAACTATTCATAGAAAACAGGCCTTAGAAAAGTTTTAATGTTTATACATAATGATGATAACAGATATGTCATTATTTTACATATAAAGAAGCAGAGAAATTATTAATGTTTACTTTGACTCAATTTTAAAATGTAGTGTAGATAAATTTTCTAAAACTACCTTATATCCATCTAAGCAAAGATTACAATTATATTTACTTATTAATAAAAAACATTTTTGTCATAAGCATTTTGAACAAAACAAAAATACAAAAAGAAAAAATATGTTTTCTGTATAAGCCATCTAATTTGCATTTGTGTGAAGAATGTGATGTATAGTGACTAATGACTCACAGAATACAACTTAGAAGTTATACAGAAAATAATGCAAGACAAATGATCACTTGGATTTGTTGAGATTATTGCAATGGTAATTTTTCTAGAAAAATTTTGAATTTTTTTGCTTTTCTAGCAAAATGATTGAAAAAAACAAAAAATCTAAATTTATTTTGTTTCATAGTGATATGCTCAGTTTAAAATGAATGACATTTCATAACAAACCTGGTGCTTCCTTCTCTCTACAAAATCAGCAAGGCGAGTGGTAGAGATAGGTTTAGGGCGAAGCGGGGACGTTCGTGGGATGCTTGCTTTTTTGATCCATGCACTTTCTAAACATTGCTGTGCTAATGGCCGTTTACTGAGAAGAAAAGACATCAAAAGAATGTTGAATATGCTTCAAGTTAAGAGTAAATTTCAATTCAGAGTCTACAAAAGAAAGTTGGGAAATCCATTTTAAATTTTAATGATTTGAATATTTTATTGTTCAAGTTGTTACTCACTTCATATCTTCCATCAACATTGACCGGGCAAGATCCTTTGCTTCAGCAGAAATGCCAGCAAAGTATTCATCGGGAAAACTGTAATCATTGCGTACAATATTTGAGCAGGTTTCCTCTTGGCTTTCATCCAGAAATGGAGACACGCCACTAAGCAACACATACACAATGACACCCACACTCCTGCAATGCATCAATAAAAATTAATTTAAAAATTCCTAAAATGATTCTGTAAGTCAAATAAAGAATTTCTCTATGATGAATTAACAATGATAAGTATTTTTCTTAATCAGTTTTAGTAAATTTCATACAGTGAATGAAAAATTAATCTTAAATCTTTTTACTATGAGGTATGTTTATATACAGGTATAAAATATCCTACATCATTGTGTTGACATGGGTTTAACTTTGCAGTTTTATAAATTTCAATAATTGATAAAATTATATGATTATGTACCAATATAATGAAATAATTGATGTTTAGATTTTGAGATAAAATTTACTACAAGCAATGGCAGAATTTTAGACAATGAAGTCAAGACTCTACACAGATACATCAATAAGTCTGTAGCCTGCTTATTTTCTAACATAAGCTCCTTCCTTGTTAATGCACTTAATAAAGTGGTGAATATTAATTACAACAATCAAAAAATGATGAAAAGTTCATATCAAATTTCAGCTAATAGCTATGTATCAGACATTGATTCACCATTGTAAATGTAACCCTAAAATACTGTCGATATAACAAATTAGGATAGCTAAATAATCTAGTCAACTGATAAAAATTTTGTTTTTGTCAATGGAAAAGATATATATACTGACGAGATTGACACCTTTAAACTGACATTAGTTGATTATTAAACAAACAAATAATACTTTTGAAAAGATTATACTCTTATTCAGGTAATTAGAAATTATGTTTACTTCAAACATAAAATAATAGAATTATAAATTCTTTGATGACCATTTTCATTCAGGATAATAAATTTTGCTTTACAAATAAACATTTTAAAATTCACATGATATTTATGGTCTTTTTTAGGGCTTTTAAACTATAAAAAGAAAATAAAATTTATCTAAAAATGCTAAAGTACAATTAAGAAAATTTATTTTACATTTTGATCTTTTTATATTTGCTGTAACTCGTGAATTTTAAACCAATTTAAATATTTTGTTGCCTTGAATAAAAATTTATCAATGAATTTTCATCACTATTGTCTGTTCTTAATGTTTTTTGTATTCAGATTATTATAACACTATTTTGGTATGACTAGTATAAATTTATTTAAAGCAGCCAACTATTCTCATGTATTTGAGTAACTAGTCACAAGAAAAGGTTTTTGATTGTGATGATTTAAGTAGTTCTCTTTTTGGTAATCACAGTCTTGAGTTTTCATCATTTAAAATTGTTATACACTGCTTTGAATTAGATCACTTTTTGTCCAGATGTGGACACTAAGAAATCAATAATAAAAAATCACATCTAGTTCATAAAAGAAATCCCCCCCCACCCAAAAAAAACATATAAAAGGAACCAATCACAAAGTTTGTTGCTGAAATAAATACATGAAATAAACAATTAGTCATGATTAACCACATTTATTTTTAAGAATGCTGCTCACAATACTAGGCAGTCATGGTGAATAGGCAAGCTGCCAACATTACCGACCAGTGAGCTTGGTCAACCGACTTGACACACACATCAACTCTAGGCCCTACTGACTTGCCCCTTCCTTCAAATCACAGGAATTTTATCTTAATCATTCTTGTTTGCTTTTCTTTTCACCTTGCCAGTGGTACTTGTTATTTCACTTGTTTTCTTGTGCTATCATATGTGAATCTATAGTAGAATTATATTTGTTTTATTGTTAATGTGTTTCATTTTAAATATATTTTCATTCACTTGATTCAGATTTCCACTGTCATGTTTTAGTGTATTTAATTTCTACCATGTTTGTAGACAAACAAATTTATTATCATTGTCAACACCATAATCTGATACATAAACAATATAAAAATGTTATTCAGTAAATAACAATTTCATTGTATCTTTATCATAATTCAATCAATTTGATATAAAAATAAAACAACAAATTCATATCATTTACTTACCATATATCAGTGAGTAGGCCAACAGGTGTACCACTGACCAGTTCAGGTGCCATAAATTCTGGGTTGCCAACTACAGGGTGGATGTAATAATTGTTGTAAATGTGACGAGCATCACCAAAGTCAATTAATTTGACCCCAGGATTTACACAAGAATCAACTACAATATTTTCAGGCTGAAACAATAGAAATTAATGTTTATTTAAAAGTCAACAATTTACCTAACTTTTAGTGTGAAATTTTAAAACTATTCATGGAAATCTATACAATTCTTGACAAAAAGTGTTTGAAAATTCTTAAATTTCCAATTATATCAAGACTTCTTGAAAGTAATTTTAGTTTTCATTCTTGATAGATTGATTTTAAGTAAGGTAGCCCAAAAGAAAACACTCTTATTGTATTTTAGTTAATGTTGACAATTTACAAAGTTTGGATATTGAAGCATTGTCTTAAAGTAATAGACATTATTTGACATGATCAAGGCAATCTTCAAAACTTGAAATTCCATTTAATTTTTGAAAGTTCTATTTTATTCACCATTAATAACATTTCAGTTGCTCACAAGCTTACCATATATACTCGAGTATAGTGCGAGTTTTTATGATCAACTTTTTTACACAAAAAGTAGTGGGGCACACTATACACAGGTAATTTTTCTAAAGAGCTTAAAAATCATACATTTTCAGTGACTGGTTGCACTATACACAGGTACAATTTTCTGAAGGGGTTAAAATTCATGCAAAAAATCCAGGAAGTTGGCTTATGCATGAGTATATATGGTAATCAAAAAGGGAGAGATGGACTAATTTAATCAATGAAAAATCAACTGAACAAGATTAAATGCTTGGTATCATAAAAGGTTAAGCCAAAAAAAAAAAAAAAGAAAAAATTTCCATATATTTTTTTTAAACAAGTTACAAGTTGTGAGTAAACAGAATTATTTTAAAGAATAGTTCCTCTTTAATACCATTATAAGCATAACAAGATGAAGTTGTGTTCTCTAGACTACAAATAAAGTTCTACGTTAACAACAAAAAAATGTATTTTTACTTCCAAATAGTGTGGACTAAAAAAAATCCTTAAGTTCTTTTGATAACATTATTTAATTCTCATGCAACAATGAGATGCACTGACCTTAATATCCAGGTGAGCAATGCGACAATTGTGAAGATACTGAATGGCATCCAGTATTTGTTGTACATATTCAGCAGCTTGTAGTTCATCAAAGTGAGCTCTGCTGCAGATGAACTCCAATAAACGTCCAGAGGGGATCCTGAAATTTTAAAAATTATCAGTATAAAATTATTGTTTCCATCTTTAAGAAATTATGTTTTTTTTTTGAATAGTGGAATTTTATAAAAATGAAACCAAAATATCTTCAGAGAAGCTCATGGAAATTAATACAAATTTAAGAAATGAAAAAAAAATTCATGATCCCAAGGACACATGGCTCAGCAGATAAAAACATTGGTTTGAGTGATCCAAAATGTAACTTGACCCAAAGAGTTGTGAGTTCAATACACAGCAGAGGGAACAAAAACTTGGCAAGTTGATTTACTAAAATATTAACTGAAACTGATACCAGGGAATTAGAACAATCTACCCCATGGACTAAATAAAGGGTTCAGTTTGAAATTCCAAAAGAATGAAGACAGAATGGCAATAAAGATGAGAACATCAATGTAAATAGTGTAAAACAAAACTTTTCCAAAGAAAAAAAAAACAAAAAAAAACGAATTATTCAAAAAAAAAAATAAAATAAAAAAATAATCAAACAATTATGATTCAAAAAGTCATAATTGAGAATTCAAATTAATCTTCCAGTTAATGTTGCCATAAGATCTGAATATTTTTTTAATTATATAATAAGGTACATTTCCAGAAGACAATGAAAATAGAATTGGTGAAAAATTACAAGAATTCTTTTTTAGTGTGTGCATGGAGACAAATTCTTTCTTACATACTAAAAAAAAAAAAATAAAAACTTGAAAACTATCTCTTGTAGAGTTTGAGGACAGACAGAAGGAAACAAACATGCCATTCTTAATGAGAAAAACAGTCTGCAAGAGGAATTGGGACATACTTTTGAAAATTGGAATTTTTTAAATAAATTACATTAATATGAAATGTCTGTTGAAGATCTCACTAATTCTTTCATGCTAAACCTGAAAAGCTGTAAAAACAATTTAATTTCATTAATTTCCAGTTAATTTCATTAATTCAAGGAACATAGATAAAAATTAGTTATCAATGCTAAAACTATCATTTGACATTTTTTTTTACTATTGCTACAAACAAATCTTTGCACTTGACACAAAAAATGCAATTCTTAAAATAGAAATCTCAAAGTTTAGGCTTTAAAAGAAACTTATATATACACACACACACAAATAGAAGAGTTGTTTCCCTTGAGAAATAATCTATGTTCCGTGTCCCTTCAGTGCATTGGTAATCATGGATCTTCATATTTTTCTGTCCTTTGTAACACCTAATAATTTTTCATTCAGCATTCACCGAGGCACTGATATTACATAACAGTTCGGTACTCTTTTCTTTGTTTCTAACGAATATTTTCTGTTTATTAAAATACTTTGGTTAGCTTTTGGAAGGTATCTTTCGCTATCCCAATGCAGCTTTGGATTTTGGTGTTGCACATTTTCCATCCTCTGTTAAAGCACTTCCCAGATATTTACATTTTTGTAACAAAAGAAAAGAAAAACACAAATTCATAAATATTAGAAGTAAATAAACTTACATTTCCATGATTAGGATATAATTAGCCTGTGTTTCATACAAGTCAAACACTTTAACAAGGTGTGTATGATAGAGGCTCTGTAATGTGTTGAACTCTGTCTCTATAGCTTCCTTTGATAAGTGTTTGCGGTTGATGTACTTAGCAGCGACATCTTGGCCAGAACATTTCTGTACACAACGTTTTACAACAGCAAAACGACCTCTGGCCAAAGAAAGATGCAGAAAAAAAAGAAAAGAAAAGATAATGAATCTTTTGCTTGCATATATGAAACAATATACAAATAATGTTACCATGTGTAAATGAATGGATTATCAATTTAAGTGAGAACTTTTGGGAAATCCTTTAAGTGAAATGGAAGAAACATCTGTAAAAACTCTGGATTCTTCATTACTTATAGTCATTCATATAAATTAAACTGGGTATTTGTAAATGAAAAGAATATTATTGTTAACAAGCCTGAATAAATTACCCTCACAAAATTTTATGATAGTGAATCTAATATCTTGTTGATTTTCATCTATTAGTTGTAAAATTTCCTCACCTGCCAAGTTCATCCAATTCATTATAGTCATAGTCAAATGTAGCTTTCCATATAGCACCAACCATTTCTTCACGGCCACTCAATTCTGAAAACAAATACAAACAAATGAATCAATGTTTTTATTTAAAATTAAATATTAGAAAAAAAATCAACTTGTAATTTTTCTAAATTTACATTTTGTTTCCTGTTATACTGAAAATAATGGAGTTATAGAAAAATACAAATATTTTCAGTATAACAGGAATAATGAGAATATTTTTTCATTCATATGTAACAAGTATTATAGTTTTATGCTATATTGCTATTTAAACAATGATAGATGCAACAAATAGATACAAAATAATGGAGTTATAGAAAAATACAAATATTTTGTATCTATTTGTTGCATCTATCATTGTTTAAATAGCAATATAGCATAAAACTATAATACTTGTTACATATGAATGAAAAAATATTCTCATTTCGAAATTAATGTCTAAAATAACATTTGATAATAACAAAGATAATTTAAAATATCTGAAATAACATTCCTTTAACAATAATTTAAAATAAAACAATTGTATGTACCTATATAAATCAACGTTTTAAGTTAATATCACTTGATGAAAAACATTAATAATGATCAAAGTCTGATTATTAATAATAAAGAAAGAAAGAAAGAATGAAATTTGTAGCAATACAATTCATCTAAATGCCAGTTACTTGATAGCAACAGATAGTTACAGTTAAGACAATAATATTTGAAGATGTGGAAGAAATTAAGGGGAAATAACCGTGAATAAACAACAGAAATAAAGTGGCATTTTGATTTTATTTCTAAGGCAATATTTTTGATTAATAAACAATATTTAATGAAAAAATTGTATCCTAGTGGTATTTTGAGAACTTTAAAATGTCATTTCAAAGAGTAGATAAAAAACTAATATGCAAGCCAGAAAAGTCATTTTAATAAATAAAATATACTTTGGTGGTCAATACTCATGTGATTAAATAAAATACAAAGGAGTTAGTTATGAAAATCACTTTACAGATAATTAGGATATCTAGTAATTTATTATACCAGAATCAGTACATGACTATAAATGCATATCATTGCATAGTGAGGATTAGTTTTATATCACAATTACCTAGTGCCAGATTTTCCAATGTCCTGACAAAAAATTATTTTTTTTTTTATTGAAAACATAGTGCCATCAAGATTTTACCTGTAAATTTAAAGATCAAAATTACTTGGCTGAAATCAGATCGTGTATGCTAGAGAAGAAATAGGGACATACCTTCATACATATTGGCAGAGATTTAAAAAATCTTTTTTAACAATCCATCAACTTGTTTGCCTCTATATATTTGGAAGATAAGAATACCAATTACCTGATTCTGTAGGAATTGTAACTGGATCTGACGCAAAGCTTGGGTCACTGACACCAACGGCATTGTTTGCTCTGACCTGGAATTGGTACGTGGAACCAGGAAGAAGATCTTCAACAACCTGCGAAGTGGTGGGTACATAGGGAATAGCAGTCTGCCACTCACCAGATTTGGTTCCTGAGGAGTCACAAAAGAAATACAAAATAAATGAAACATTGAAGTTCACGCAAAGAAAAACTTAACAGATTTACTTATGAACAGCTTATGTAGAATAAAGTAATTAGTAGATATTTATTAGTTAGGTAAAAGGTCACATGAGTAGAATACGCAAGAAGGACTGAATTCGTTACGCTGATAAATAGTCTACAAGACCTGCATGTTAACCTCTTATACACACTCAAATCTGCATGTTAATTTTTTGGCAGACACCTCGAACAGTTTTATTGCACAAGCTGATTCAGTTTGGCTAAAATAACTTTTGGTTAAAATCACCTTTTCTTAATATTATTATGAAGTTAAAGAAATAGTTGTTTTGTTTTCAAGGTAAGATGATTATCAGAGAATGAATAAAAAAAGATAGATTTGAAGAATGAAATTGTTTGTATAAACAAAATAAAAAAAGAAATCAGCATAAGATATGAATTCAAAAATTTATTTCTTTTTTGAAAGAATTTTTAAAATTGTGAATTATATCAAAATTAGTGCATAAATCTTAAATATAGGAAGCAGATGGTTTTGATGAAATGTGTCATTTATAGCTTTACTACTTTGGCTTGTATACTATTATATATTCCACAAACACATGCAGTAAGATTATATATAATCTTTTTTCTCTCAGCAAACTTCGTAAACATTTAATGGCAAAGCCAATGTGCAAAATTATTGAAACAATTATTTCCCCATGCACATGTAGTGCTGTAAAGTGGTGTATATTGGGTTGACTACTCTCTCATTGCAGATTCACAAATATTCAAAGGCAGATGTTACTTGTTTTATTCCAATGTCACTCTATTACAGATAATCCCGTCTGCTATTTGACAGAAATAGCTACTTTACATTGACAGTCAAGTGCAGGCAATTTTTATAGAGAATGGGTAAGATAATTGATATAAAGGCATATTGAGTGATGTAAAAATATTATATGCACCAAAACAGTTTAAAAGCTGAAAGTCTGATAGACATCCTTGATAACTGCTTCATCCTGGAAGAAGTTCATAACAACTTATTGGGGTTAATTTTCTAATTAGATAAAACTTAGAATATTAAAATATGAAATTTAATATATATCTTGCATTTATAGGTACCTCCACTAATTCATTATATGTAAGGTTTAAAATGATTTTTCAAAAATGAAAAAGCTTCCTTGAAGCTTTCATTTTAGCTTTAATTGAAAGCTAAAGGATTTAAAATCTACTATTTCCACTCAGCAAAATATACTGTTTTGAATTGCAAATAGAAATTATATTGATTGGAATCGATTTTTTTTGTCTCATTAAAATTGATCAAAATGGCCCTTTTTATAAACAAAAAATAATTCTTGGTTTTAAGAATCTTGCAAAAATGAAATATATATTTCTGAAACATTATTTGAGGAAAATTATCAAATTTAAAGTTAAATTAATCTGATTTGAAACAAATATTACTTATAGCATAAAATGTTGGGTACAAATATTTCTTAACTACAGAATCTTGTTTTTCTGGTGTGTTAATTGATTTATTTATATTCGATTGACAGCCAAATGTGTACATTAGTTAAGTAGTTTTTTTTTTTGCTGTAAGACCAGGGACAACCCTTAAAATATGTGACCTTTTGATGCTAGCTTTATCGGTTTGTACATCCATACTTCAGAAATTTTGCATGTAATCAAACATACAAAAACAAATTGAAATTCTTTTAAAAATATTTGGTTTCTTTTTACTTAATAACAATATTTCCTAAGAATTATCTGATTGAAAATGAATTTTAAAAAATTTAAAAATTTTATAAATTATTCAATTTAAAACTGTAAAAAAAATGAAAACAAACCTTGTAAAAATTCATTTTTCAGTGAAAATTGTTTTTCTTCAGACAATATTGTCTTTAATATATATTATTCATAAAAGCTTCTCTAATTAAATAATGTCTTAGTTTTATTGTTTTTTATTTTTCAATTCAGAACAGATTTTCAGTAAGACCAGGTTTGATTTTGCAAAAAAAAAATTCAGTGATTTAAATTCTTCAAAGAATTCTGCTTTTAACTAGCATAGTCAATAAAAATTATCTCGAAGAATTTCTCAAGGTTTCAAAAAATTAAGTAAGGGGCTGAAACACATGTAAAATATATATATATATATATATATATATATATATTTACCAAGATTTTCTAATAAAAAAATTTTTTTAAAATAATTTAATAAATTTCTGAATAAGTCCTGAAAATTTAATTAAAATCTGACAATTTGTGTCTGTCATTGTAAAAAAGAGGCAAAAATTTACTATGCTAAAATTTAGTACAACTGCTGATGCAAAAAAAGTAAGTTTTTTTTAATTAAAATTTTGATGTTTTAAAAAGGAGTAAAAAATTTAATTAAATAATCAAAAAAATACTTTGATCCTTCTTCTTAATAATACCATAATGATTTTGACAATAAAACTAGGTTTTCATTACATTTGAAGAATGTCTTCATCACAGTATGCTGATTTATTTAGTGTTTTCACAGAGGTTCCTAATTTAGTGTGTGTATATATATATATATATAGGTACCTTTCATTTAGGAATTTAATCTGGCTTATAAAAATTTATCCGACGTTGCAAACTTAACTGTACAATTTTAGGTCCTGCTATTATTCTTAATATACAAAAGTGAATGTGTGTATGTGTTCATTCTTAAAATGAATGGTTAACATTTCCTTTCAGTCACACTAGAATTGTATTCATAAATTTTAGTTAAATAGTTTAAATTATTTGCTAAACATTGTCGTATCAACTGATGTTCTCTATTCAGCAATTCTTTCAAAAATATTAATACAATGAGAAAATAAAGAAAAGAGTTCTTCCTTAAATGTGTAAACCAAATTTCTTATTTTGCCGTTGAGTCCTACAATGCAAGCCACAATTCTATTCCCGTGAGAAAGTAATGCTTGTATTCACGACATTCTTAAAGAAATATAACTGAGAGAGAGAGAAAAAACTAAGTATAGAATTATCATCACATTATTCCCACACTGAGAAAGAAATTAAAAAATCCTAAAGGTTTTCAGTAATAGAAAGAACTGACATCTTTAAACCTAAATCATTCTTAGTGTTTTTCTAGAAATCAATGAAACAAAATAACTTAGAAATGTTTATCTGAACACTTTTTTTTTTTTAAAGATTCTAGCAGATTCTGTATGGGCTGTGACAAAATGTTTTTTTATTGTTATAAATAATTTTCATTTGTTTGTAATAAAATATCTGCTCATGTTTTATTATGGAAATTATATCCAGTAAGTAACTTACTTATTAATAGATGTTAAAAAATCTTACATATTTTTATTGTGGGATTTTCTGCATGTCTCCTTACCAGAATTTGATTAAAAAATGATAAGGAAACCTTAAATACTGGTTGTAAACATTAGAATAAAAAAAAATGGTTGGGGAGAGGGGTCCAAACTGACTATTAACAAAGTTAACCAATATTCTATATTTGACTTTTTTTTCTTTTTTAATTGAGTTCACCCCATGCAAGGCAGTAAAGCCACTGAGAGTTAGAAACATTGGTTAGGAGCAAGAACAAAAGAAGAGTAATCAGAAAGACAGAAGATAGCAACTGACATTTCAATTTTTGCACACTTGGAGCCAGAAGGGATTTCCACAAGCAAGAAGTGTAAGAAAAGAAACTTATCATAGAATTTATGGTTATAACATTTGATATTAGAAAAAATAAATTGTTCATGTTGAATCTTTTTCCTAGTTTGAGTAATTCTGATAGGAGAATAGGACAGTCAAATACAATAAAACCTGATTGGTCAAGATAATATAAGGAGGAGGAGAAGAAGAAGAAATTTCTTACTCTCTCTTTTTCAAACAAAAATAAATAAAATGAGAGAGAGCATCATAAGTTTTGTCTTATTCCTATGCAGTAATGAATATTATTTTAAAGTTTATTTTTAACAATATTATGAAATTAAGTGATATTGTATTATTCCAATATATGACACAGTAAATATGTATTGTAAATAGTACACACTAAAAATGATTACTCTATTTTTATTGTCTGTAACTCATAATGTATATTGAGGTAGATAGGAAGTCAGTCTATGTACATTGAGCAACGAAAACCGATCCATTATTTTCACTTTTTATTTTTATTGTTACTTTTATATAACACAAATTTAAAACTATTTTTAGGTCAGACTGTTTCAGTTTGTAAGCAAGAGTGATGTTTTCTTAAGGGAATTTGAAGAGGATTTCATAATATTATATATGACACTAAATCAGATAAACATACTCAGCAGCAAAATACATTAACCTTTTCACTACCTGTTAAGCATCAAACATGTTAATAAATAAGGATCTTATTGAATAATAAAAAGTTTGAAAATTTAAGAGCTTTTAAAACATACAAAATAATTATTATAATATACTGTTACCATTTAGTTTTAAAAAAAATCTTTATATTTTATTATGATAGACGTTATTTGCTATGAAATCTCTTTTAATGAAGAATGGAACAAATCTCATTTCCCCTCATATTTTGTATAAAGACTGGGTCTTATATTTAGATGTCTGAAACTATTCAATACAATTTCATATTTTTGCCTTTATTTATATTATCAACAGAATAGTAAAAGAGAAAAATTGATGAATTAATTAAAAAGTAAATTTAAACATATAATACCAGATATTTCATGAATGAATAGATATGTATCTTCCTAAACCTCAGTTTGTAGATGACCAAGTTTATGCAAAAAAAAGTTTTAAATAAAAATCTGACAATATTACTTAAAACCAGAAATAAATTATGTGAGGAAAACAATTACAAAATTTTCTATTGATTTCTACATTGCAAAATTTGATAGAATATAAACTAATATTTTTTCTGCTCCTTACTTGAATTGAAATATGACTCCAACAATAGATTTCTGTATCCACTTCTAACAATTTTGCATTTTTAAATGAATTGGTATAGAAGTAAATACAGTTTAGTCAATAGTAACAGCTGGCGTAATAATAATAAAAAAATGTATTTTATCATTCAATAAAAAAAAAAAAATGTAACAGGTGTTGGGACATTTATTGTTTTATGATTTACTGAATGATTTAATAAATAAAATACTGATTGGTTATACCATATAAAATTTAAAGTTGTTTAGTCAATTAAAGATATAAATCATGTTTAAGTAAGGACATCATTGTGTGAGGTGGCAAAATAAATAAAAAGTCAATAAAAAGTCAATAAAAAGTGGTCAATAAAAGAATTTTGTATTTGTGGTTCAAGATTCAAAAACATATTTAATGATGTTAGAAGTTTTATAAAAGAATTTGAAACTCCTTTTTACTAAGTTTTGGATTTAATTCATCAAGAAGCTAATATTTTGTCCAGTTGAAGTTTTGTTACATGAAATTAGCAATATGAAATTGTTTTTTTTTTTTTTAATTCTTATTTATAAAAAAAAAAAAAAAAAAAAAAACAACTCAAATTTGATTTGTTCATTGCAATACAAGCTTCATTCATAAAAAATTCCAATTTTTTTTCTATTTCTACACATTCATTCAATGACTATCTTACACGTTTTTCAATGTTTAATAAACTGCTTAAAAATTTAAATCAATCTTAAATCAATAAACAATAATCCTGCGTATGACAATAAACTACATCCAGCAGTAAGGACTCTGATCATGAGATTAGAGGTTTTGAGGAGCATGGGACCACCTCTTAATTACTGTTGTTCCTAGGTCCACCCTGAACCAGGGTAATAGTACCTGTTAGGGTCCCAGCTATGGGCAAATAGTGAACCCCTAAATGAAACACTATGAAAATATACATTTTTATAGTAAAAATACTCGCAATACATTTTTATATAAAAAAATGACCAATGATACATATTTATAGTAAAATGACCAATAATACATTTTTAAAGCAAAATGAACAGCAATACATTTTATCAGTAGTTTTAGGTATACAATTGCATTCAAAATATATTTAGTTGCAGATATTGCGTTCAAATTATTTAGATTTTGGCATTAAATGACCCATCAAGGTTGATATCAACTAACCAACCAAAAATATAATAAACAAAGTCTAACAGCAAGAATGAAAAATCTAAATAAAGATAAGCAACTCAAATTATCTTTAAAAAAATTGAAATATATTTTGACTTAGATTATTAACAAATAGTATTTCTGAATGTTGCTAGACAAAGCTTTTTTTTTCTTCTTTTAAGACAATGAAATAATTCTGTCTCTAATAAAGAGAAGACATTATATTTTTAACCAATGATGTTATGTGATGATACTTACCACAAAATCTATATTCAACTGTATATCCCTGAATCTGTCCACATTTGGACTGGAATGGCGGCGACCATTCCAGATGTACCACAGTTCCTACCTGGCTCCGAATCACAGGTTTGCCAGGTGGTGGTGGACGGTCTGCAAGGTAGAAGTAAATGTCAGTTATGAATTACCTGAGTTAATTTATATTAAATATTATCAGATGTAAATTAAAATGAGAAAAAAAGATTTCTTTCTTTGATAAAAGTTACATAAAAATTTATAATAGAAATAGTATCAACTAGATTCATTCTGACAACATTTAATAAAAAAAGGAATGAAAGAAATAAGAATTGTTAGGGAAAAGCATTTTCTAAATAAGTATCCCAGAATATTTGATCATGTGACACCTTGATTACTGATTATTTTGCAGGTTGTGTTGTCTGTCATTTTCAAAGTAGTTTTATTCTTAATATTAATTTATCATTATGCCTAAAATAAAAATAAAAATATTTGATGTCAGCTTTACATAGGACAATAGAAAATACTCACCAATAACTGTGAGGATTGCTCTTGTCATGACCGTCCCAAGCTCACTGCTGCCAACACACAAATATTCCCCATCATCTGCCATTGTTACATCAGATAACTAGAAATAAATTTTAAAGAAAAAGGTAAGTAAAACAGGAAGCAATAAACAAGAAATTGTAATTCAGAAATATACGATTTTCATTCACGCAAACCCTGACAGCAAAATAAGTATGACTGAATCTGAAAAGAAGTTCTTTTCAGAGTAGAATTTTTTTTATTTATTAACTAGATTTGTTCTTCATTTCACCCTAAACAAGGCAATAAAACTGAAAGGGGTTAATGAGTGTGAAAGGATATGAGAAAAAAAAAAATTAATAGAGTGAACAATAAAAAAACGAATTAAGAAGACAAAAGATAATGTTTGACGTTGCATTTAAGTTTTTGTAAAACAAAGTTGAATGGAAAGCAAGAGAACAGAAAAGAATTCCACAAGTGAGAAGTGTAAGAAGAAAATGTTAGCATAGAACTTATGGATATATTTAGTTATTTCAACTGTAAAATGATGAGACCTTGTCGACAATCTAGTTAAGTATTTAAATTTTAAATACTTAAAATACTAATTAGTGGGTAGCTTTATAAAAATGTTTTTTGAAGTTGAACATGAAAAGTAATTTCCCAAATATTTTTATTCTTCTAATTAAGATACTGACTGTGCACAGAGCTTTTACAAAATGAGTAAAATTTGATTTTTATTTGCATATGGTAAATAATTGTTTAATTTTAAAACTTGTGAAGCTTTATTTTAGTATAGTATCAGGTTTAGTATAGTACTCTGAAGAAGAAAAAACAAATCAATAATATTAGTTGAATTTTGCTAGCAGATATAAATTAGAACTTTTAATAAAAATGTAAATGATAATTTACATCCAACTTCAGTAAAGAGCAATTTTGGGAGCAAATAAATGTGATATATTGGTCAATTTTATAAGATAAATAGTACATAGTTGTACTTTAAAACAATATAAGAAAAGCATATAATGAAAAAGTAGGAGACTGTAAATACAACAAAAAAGATCATGTTATTAGTTTCTAAGATAAGAGGTAAATTGAAGATTAATTTGAGTTGCAGGTTGGATGATACTTGTTGAAATCATTAAAAAAAAAAAAAAAAAAGCCAAAAAACAAACACTCTTCATCTGAAAACATTAAAAGTCTTTCCTGAGTTTCTTTGATGTGAATTTGGAATGTTAAATCTTTTCCTATGAGAATTCTATCTTTAAAGTTAACAAGGCCTAAGAAACAAATAGAAACTGGAATAAAGTAAATTTAAACAATGAAACAAAACAGAGAATATTTAATAATAACTAAAGTCAAAGGCATTTCAGTTTTACAGGCCTTAAATCTATCAAAGGAATTGGGATATAAAAGACTTTTCAGTCACAGAACTATTATCTTTCCCAGATGTATGTAACTCAATTTTCTGAATAAATCTAAGTATGCAAAAATGTACTTTTGACAACATTTTAATCCCTTATTTATTTTTATTCAAAACAAACTTAGTAATAAGAAATTTAAAAGTAGCAAAGTAACATAAACTAAAACACTGCAACATTGGTAATAAAACAACTGTGTAACAATCTAATATAAAGTATAACAGATAAATAATTTGCAAGAGAAAATTCAGAAACTAAAAAAATAGACAATACAGGTGTAAGATTAAAGTAAAGGGAGACAATTTTGGTTGTTGAGGTAATGAGACATTTTTTTCAAATATTAGTCAATGGTAATTAAATATGAACAATGAGAAAAGTAGATGCAGTAGGAAAAGAAAAATAGTTTCAAGAAAATAAAGGATAATATGGAGTTAAATTCTCTTCATTTTATTTTGATATTTCTTTGATATTAATATACAGAAAAAAAAACCAAACTTAGTTCTATTAATGAGAAGATCTTGAGATCATTTTTCCCAGTTAAAATTTATAAACAACATGAAGAACATTAGAACTTTTCATTCCAACTCAACAGAGTCAATAATTGACCTAAATATCAACCCATTTGTCCAGCAAACTGAGCAGAAACCTAGTGAACTTTTACATCAGCAAATAACTTACAATTTTCTTACTAAACCCAGTCTTGCTACTAAGAATATTTTCATAGTGTAGAGGGAGGGGGAATTCCGACAACATTTATATAAAATGAACAAATTATTTAATTCTACTGCTTACCAACTATTTGCTGAAAACCGTGTGTGTGTGTGTGGAATATAAGGTTATGATATTTCTGGACAAATTTTTAAACTGATTTTGTTTCTCTTATTAAATCATTAAATGAAAGTTGTCTTGAATGGCCACTCTTCTAAATCTTTTGGTATTAATGCAGGTGTCCCCCAGGTCTCTATCATTGGACCTACCTTGTTCCTAATGACTTTCCTGATATCATCAGTTCACAACTCTGTATCTATTATCTATGCTTATGACAACTATTTACTTCTGTCTTATTAGTAAGTCTGAACATTTTGGTAAAGGTCAAATTAACAGTTGATCTAAAAAAAAAAAAAAAAATGACCTACAATCTGTTAACTGTGTCAAAAAATGGCTTGTTAATTTTAATGCCTTCAAAACAAAACTGATCTCTATTAATCATCTGAGAGAACCCTTTCTGCCTTCCATCAGCATGGCTGATGCTAACCTCCAGGAGAGTGACTCACTGTGCCTTCTTGGGTTAATATTTTCCACTGATATGAAGTTGAAAGATTATATTGAATCAATTGCTAGGTCTGCTGCTAGGAAAATTGGTTCATTGTATCATGCTAGACAATTTTTCTCGCTCGAATCTATTTTACACATTATAAGTGTACCATTTGTTCATGCCTTGAATATTGCTGTCACATATGATCTGATGTTCCTGTTATATATTTAGAGATCTTTGATAAAATCAAAAGAAGGATCTGCAATTTTATTGGTTCTGATCTGGCATCTCAGTTTAAGTTATTTTCCCATTGCCGTAATATAGCTTCCCTGTACTTCTTCTGGTAATTGTTCTGATTAATTTGCCTCCATGGTACCTAGACTTCATGAATTTAAGCACAGTACTAGATTAGTGGCAAGGTCTCATCATTTTACAGTTAAAATGGCTAGAAATTAAGTTCTATATTAACAACTTCTTTTCTCACACTTCTCACTTGTGGAACTCTCTTCCAGCTTCTTGCTTTCCAGTCAATTTTGATCTTCAAAAATTTTAATGTAATGTCAATCATTATTTTCTGTCTTCTTAATTTCTGTTCTTTTGTTGTTCTCTCTCTTTAATAATGCTTCACCTTTTCTTATAAATTTTTTACACTCAGTACCCACTTGCATCTTAGCGGCTTTGTTGACTTGATTGAGGTGAAATGATTTAAAAAATAATTTAGAAAAGAATTCAATTACACACAAAAAGTAATAAAATATTTGTTATTAACAAATTTACATATTCTGAGTCTTTTTAAGAGGTCCAACCTAATTAAACTTCCTAAAATTAATTCTTACCAAGAAAATGTTTTTAAAAAATTGATTAGAGTTATACTTAATTTATCTTAATAACCTACTCCACTGTTTAGAATATTTTATATTACCGCTTCAGGTTTAAGCTTATAAGAAACATTTGTCATTGCTTGTGGCTTCATTAATGTAGTACCAAGTTAAAAAAAAACAAAAAAAACAGCTCCAAATTTCCAGGTCTTGAAGTTGGAATTTTTACTTTCACAAGATGATTTATATAAAGCTATAATAATTTCATGTGAAAATCAGAGCACACAAATGTTCTGCAATGTTACTCAGTGTTTATATAAGAAGCGTGCACACTGTACAAACCTGTAGTGTTGCTTCATTGTTTTCATCACTGTAACTTATAGCAATTTTGACACTTGGGATGATAGTCTGAGAGTCTGGCGTCTTCCAGGTGATGTTGGGCCGAGGACGACCACAGATACGGCAAGTCAGTACAGCTACTTCTCCAGCATTCACTGTTACATTGGTCAAAGGTTGCTGGATAGTTGGTGGGACTTCATACACAAAGTCCGAGTTGGTCATCTAAAAAAATGCAAACGACAATGCAATATTAAGTAATCTGACAACTGCATAATAATGTGCAATGAAAGAATAAAATATGGAAACACATTAGAAACATTTTTTTTTTTTTATTAAATTCAAAAAAATTTCTATATATAGGATTTGGGTAGCATTAGTGAATCGCTTTTAGAGTGTTTTGCATCTACATACAATAGGAAGTCAATAAGTCTGTAGCCTAATGAAAAAATAATTATTTTTGCACAACAAATATTTTTCATCATAATATTTCATTGTCAATACATTTAATGTAACACTTGTTTATTAATCATCTCTAATGTGAAAGTTTCAGATCAAACTAATCACTGTTAGATTTACTGATCAACCTTCGTACATATATTGTCATCAGTGGCAGCTTTATCTCGTATCCAAGAATTTAATTTCTTTTCTTCTTTATGATGATGGCATTGATGACTAAATTTGCCACCAATGTGCAGGTTCAGGACTAGAAGTTTCCAATTTCAAAAAAATCTGTTCCTGTCATCCATTCTCTATTACCATTTGGCTTTGCAAGTGCTAGCTGGAGGTGAAAGAAAATCAGAGTAGAAGAAAATGCCAATGACGTGAATTTGTTTAAGGTGTACTTCAACTTGCCAGGAAATGACCCACACTTTTTATTTCATAACCTTCCTCTATGGTGCATAGGTGCATACAGAATCAATTATGATACTGCAGTAGACTGCCACTGACTCTGTTATAATTTTGTGTGGCGTTTTCTGTAGCATGTCTGTCATGCATAGCTCTCTTTATCTTCTAAAATCTGTTGTAATCATCATCTGCTTGTTCCACACCACCACCACCATATATATATATATATATATATATATATATATATATATATATATATATATATATATATATATATGGTGGTGATGATGGTGGAGTAGTGGATAGTGGCTTGGATTGAGGAAATGGAGAGCCGAGTTCAAATTCCATTACATTCGCTTATGTGCTAATACCCTTGGGAAAAGGTATTAATCCTCTTCTCCTCCCTCTAGCTATGAGTAAATAGCAAGACAGACTGGGTTCTATATCCTTGAATGGCAACTGATCTAGGAGAAGGACAACTCTTAACTCAAAACCTGCAGTGGGTCATTTGGGGACCTGGTAGCACGTAGTGCACCAGGTCTCTGTATTTGGCCCTTCAAAAAGTGTGGTTGTTTCTGTGCAAAGCCTTCATCACTATAATCAAATCATATGTGCTGGTTCCTAGGAACTGAGCCACTTGACCCTGACACGTCAAATATGACAGGAGAGTCCACCATATATATATATATATATAGCAGGCATCTAATGAAAAATATTCAATAATATTTGTGTTGACATTGACAGAAAATAAAATTGCAATATCTTGAATAAATAAATTCAATAAATGTTCAATAAATATTATAAATATTGAACAATAAATACTAATTTATTGTTCAATAAAAGCAAGGCAAGATTAAATGTACAGTAAATGATTATAAAGATCAATATGTGCACAAGTTCCAAAATACGGGATGTATCAGCAATACTCTGACACGATATTAATACACTGTACACCTTTTGGGCATTAGCAAAGACTTTTACACTCGAATGTTTAGTGTATTGGCTACTTCTATAATTAATGCAATGTAAGGAATATTTTACATGAAATAATGGTAGTGAAATAGTACATGCACGAAATAACAGAGACCAATTGATTTGCAATGCAAGATAATATTTATTTAACAAAAGGAAAGTTTAAGAGTTTTTTTTCCTAGAAATAAATGGAATACACAAAAAATATTGTTAATGTATTTGGACGTGACTTGCCTGTGTAGGTGTGTGTGCGTGTGAAACAATCACATCCCTTTTTGCTTCAGTGTGAAAAGTTGATGGCACACACTTCGAAAAGAGGAAAAAAAACAGGGTGTGTGTGGACAGTTACTTGTGTAGGTGTGCTTTGCCTGTTTTGAAACAATCACATCCCACTCTGATGGCACACACTGAAAAAGGAAAAACTGCTTTGCCTGATAATACCAGATACATTTACTAAGGTACTACAAATGCATACAAATGGAAGACACTGCTACCCAGGCCTATGCTGCATATACAAAAGACCACCAATTGCAATAATGCAAATTTTCTCTCATCACTGAACACTACAGAGTGCTATACGAGTCACCAAGTAATAACACTGGAAATGTACACGATGATGTAAAATAGGCAGAAGTCTAGTTGGAGGTACACATGCTCTTAGCCTTAGTCAACTAAATTTCATTTTTTTTTTTTACTCTCCAACAATTATTTTTTCCCATTAGATCAGAGAAAATAATGTTATGCATGCCATCAAGGGCTGCCACTGAAAGTTAAAACATTTGATTTAATAAATATGACAATTTTATGGGTAAGTCTAATGGGATGCACAGACGGTGCATCAGTGTGGAAAATGAAATTGGTGAGCTGAATTCAAATTCTAATTGATTCTATTTTGTTTATTTCACACTAATATCTTTGGAAAAGGCATGAATCTCCCATCCCCTACTTATGGGTTAAACAGCAGAGCAGATTAGGCTCTCTTGCATTGAAGTGGCAACCAACCCAAGAGACCCCCCCACAAAAAAAACTCTGAATTCAAAACCAGCTTCAAGAGAGGTTATCTTGCCCTAAATACACTACTGCTGCAGTACATATAATGGCTCCTAATGGGTTACAGGATTTGTGATGTTATGATTAATGAGCAATATACAATAAATGCATATAGCACACAAAATGGATAAAGCAATGAAGATGTAAGATAAAATTCATAGAATAGAAATATAACAAATATATAGCATACATCCAAACAAGTTTGATTAAAAACAACCAACAAGGTCTGTTTAATTTTTTATTGTATTTTCCTTATTTTAAGATAAGGTGTTGAGTATTGTGTTCAGAGTTGTGGATAAACTGTCCAAAGTTCATATTTTGTAATTTTTATTGAAAGAAAAATAACAAAATACAAACTTCCAACAGTTCAACTTTGAGCACAATACTCAACATCTGAAAATTGGAAAAATACAATAAAAATATTAAATAGACAGACGTTGTCAATTCTTTTTAATCAAAATTATTTTGGATGAATATTTAATGCCTAAATCTACCCAATTCAAATATTATACTTGGAGACCAGGTTACTGTGATAGTAAAAACTGTTTTCATAAAAATAAATGGAATTTTTCTTTTCTTACCTTTGATGTTGAGGAGGGCAGTTTTCCATCACGTCCTAAACTTCGACTTTTCCTTTCTAAACTGTTTTTCCCATCAACTTCTTTTTTGAAACTAGATTTACGAAGCTTGAACATTTGCCAAGAGGTTTTCCTGAAAAATAAAAGTATCATTTATCTGTATATTTTATTATGAAAATAATTATTTTGTTACAAAATGATTTGGTCAATCTAAGAATATATCTAAAGAAAATAATTCATTTCTATATGCTTGTGAATTTTGAGGTGACTGCTTGGGAATACCAGGTAAGCTTGGATGTGTGGCTGGTGTAATGGATAATGGCTCAGAATTGTTAACCAGTTAGTTGAGTTCCAAATCTAGTCTGGTTCATTATATTCATTTATGCACAAATACCTGAGGGAAAGGTATGTATCCACCTCTTCTCCCCCTAGCTATGGGTTAATTAGTAAGACTTGTATCATTAAATCTTTTTTATTTAAAAAAAAAAATTCCTAACAATCTAAAACTATTTTCTGGCTTTAAATAACCTGCAAAAGGTTGAAAAGCCATAGAAAATGAATGAATCAATCAATTGTGATTCACATAACAATACACATGAATTAAGGAAGCAGTCTAGTTAGTAACCAATATAGTTTACTAATTGGAAGATTTAAATAAAGTATGGCCCTGCATATAGCATAGTGGTTATTTTCATGGAAAGTGTGATTAATGTGCCAAGTTTAAATACTAGTTGAGGACATTCCATTTGCTTTCACACAAATTCCTATAAGACAGATACGAATCCCATCTCTTCTTCTTCTTCAAACTAATAGTTAATAACAGGACAGACTCTCTAGCATTGATTGTGAGCCAGTCTAGGAGAAAGATAACTCTGAATTCATAACTAGTTGAGTGTAGGGTGAGCAACTGCACGCTGTAAAATCATATTTGCTGCAGAAACCATAGCAGAACCACTTTGGATGGTGAGGCTATGGTTCTTTTCTCCGCAGGGAAGTTTACAGAGTTAACACACTGTTTACAATAACAAATTTCAAAATAATTTTTCTTAGGAGATATCTGAAAATAAAATACAAAAAAAAAAAAAAGAAAGAAAAAAGCTATGTTCTTTTTGGTGAAACATTTTTTGTATTTCCATGTTTTTGGACAATCATTTGTTTGTCATAGTTCACCTGAGTAGTGAGACAAAGCTTTGAAATTGGGGACAAATCACATGCTCTGTATGCAGTACAATAAAACCTTGTAAAACAACAAATATCAAAGGAACGTAAGAAAAACTTTGGACCTACTTAAGACTGCCACCTTCATCAATTGGTCCAAGAACACCACCAGGAATCCAACCTTCTGCTGCTGGAGAAACTTCATTAGCAGCTCTGTGAACAAGAAACATGTTGTTCTGGTTGGTGGTCAGGATTTGGACCTTTTCACCTTTACTCACTGAGATTTCATCTTCTTTAATAGCCGAATAATCAGCAATCACTCGAGCCAATGAATAACTGCCATCTGATCCTGCCTGTAAAAGAGCACACAATAAAAAACAATATCAACAACAAACTAATTGAAAATAACAACCTGAAAAACACCAGTAACATTCAATTTGAGCATAAAGAAAAAAACAAAAAAAAACTTAAGGATTTTTTTTTAGTTTCACTAAGAAACAAGAGTCAACAAGTTCATTTTGAACTACTTGTATATTTTTTAATATGATAAGTAATGAAAGCAAGTAGAATTTCTAAAATCTATAGACCAATAGACATTTTAGTATTGTGAGTGTACACATTTATTAGCAAACCAAATGTATCTTAACAATAAATAGCCTTTTACCAGTTAATTTCCATATATCATCCTGTGAAGTTACTTATTGGTTTAATTGATTTCTAATAGCAATTTGGGTTGAGAACTTATTTTACTTGCCTCACAAATTTTATGTTTATGTTCAGATGTCTAAATTCATTTGCAAAATGGATTAAAAAAAAAAAGACAAAGATTCTAATCTTTGTTTGAAAGTTCAAGTTTTCAAACTGATGAAATATAAAACAGTTGAATATTTGCTTCCATAGCAACCAGTCTCGAAGGGTAAAAAAAGAAAAAAAAAAGATAAGATTAAAGATAATTTAAGACATTTGCATAAATTAATCAAAGAAATAAGGCTAAATTAATACATGAACTCTGTTAAAACTATTGTATTAATCAAAAAGATTGCCCTGTTTTTGTTGTTAGACGAAATGTGTCTAGATTGAATTACATTAAAAAGAAAAATCATGTCATATTAAATTGCATTTTTTTAAAAAAAAGAATTTTGTCAAAATTGGGTTATTTTGGTTTACTGAGTCTAAAATTGGAAATGGAAGAAAGTAAACAATATTTTTGGCTTGTTATACAGTTTTAATTTTAAAATTGTTAAAAATGCAATTGAAAATTGTTTTTACAATCCAAAATATGTTTCAGCTTTAAATATCCCAAAAAGGGTTGATAAGCCATAAAAAATAAATCAAGCAATCGTTGGTGACCAGACAAATATTCTTACATCTTATATTCAATAGATATTTTTATCACTTTAAAGGTTATTTTTAGTGAATACTCATATTTTAGTATTTTACTAAAATATTTTGTTTATTTACAAAATAGTATATTTATTTATTTTTGTCTACTGGTCTGAATATTTGAGAAATCTTATTAAAGAAAAGTATATGTTCTCCTGCAAGATACAAACCTATATCCCTTCACTCAGTAGATATTGCAAACTTAGATTTCTATTTATTCCAGTCTTTGAAGAAAAAAACCTAGAAAATTGCAGAATGTACTTGAAGCAGTTCCTTACTCTGATAAATAAAATTGATGGAAGATGACAGAAGATACAAGAACAAAATCATAAAATATAATAAAGTTACTGTGAATTTTTTAAAAATATTGTTATTTTTACTTAATAAATCAAAAATTTTTTATTAAGTTTGTATCAAAAGGATGTTTTCTTGGTAGGTGTGATGCAAATATTTGGGAAATCAATAAGATAAATTTTACAAATTAAAATTTTAGACCAAAAAAATTATTTTTTCTTCTATTTAAATAATTCTTAATGTCTAATGTATCAATACATTAGACATATAAATTTAAATTGATAAACTAATATTAAAATATTTTGTAAATATGACTGAAAAAATAGTAGCTTTGTAAAAAACAGAACATTTAAAAATAAAATTTTGTTATATATTATGTTTAGTTTTGTATTACAATGGAGAGATGTTCCTAATTCAATCCTTTTCTTAAAATCTAACCAAACATCAGAATTATTTTAATCTCTTGATCAGGCCAAGAACTTTGCAGTAAACTTATCTAAATAAATTTATGCATCAAATGTTATTTATACATAAAACTTTTCAATGGCAAGATATTTTTCAAGTATCTTATTGTATAGTTTTGACTATTTAACATGCTTTTGTTCACACATTTAATGCTTTCAAAATTAAGAAAAAGTTTTGCTAATCTTTATTTATATAACTTGATCAAAAAATAATAAAGTCTATAATATACTTATTTACACAGCAGGTTGCAAATTTTGCATGTTATTCTCCATATTTCTTAAATACATTATAATAGAAAAAAAGAAAAAAATGAAACATTCATTTTTTTTTTTAAGAAACTACTTTTGCTCAAAAATGGGTTTGTTTGAAATTGATGGATTTGCATTTATTTCAGGTAGTAAATATAGTTTCTTCTTTAAATGTTTTAATCTTTAGGATCCTAAATTGTCTTTCTAAATTATTTTTTTTTGTATTTAATCAACAAATCTATTCCCTCACTCAACCCATCAAATGCTTCACATAATCAACTTGTGTTGTTTATGATAATGCTGTAAGAAATCAAAGAAAACTTACATATCAGATATATTTCTAGTATGGACAGTTTGTATTGTTTGTGTGAAAACTGGGACTAATTGGTGAAGAAGCTCTGCTCATATATTTCAGAGATACTATCAGCAGCATGTATTGTTTCTGTTTAAACTGATGCATTAGAAAAAATAATTGTTTATGTAAACCGGTGATGGGATTATGAAAAAGCACAATAATGCACTTACAAACAAAATTATCAAAACCTTTGGGTTTGTCTTTGAGCAGTGAAATCAGTTATTTAAAACTGAAGTGCTAAACAATCAGGTTTCTGTTTAAATCTGGACTTCCAGTAAAATTTTTGGCAAGACTAAATTATAATTAGTTTTATATATTACCAATCTATCTGGAAATCTGAAAGGAATCTTCATTGGTTGACATTGCAATTAAAGTACACACTAGTACAATTTGCAGAACACTGCATAAAACTTGAAAAGCAGGATGACTAAGAAAAGCTGGGCTAAAAATATATCTATTCAGATGAGACTGACTTTTGTTCTTCTCAGAAGGTATGGGACAAAAAATATTTTGGTCAATTTCACAAAGACTTCAAAAAGCTATGCAAAGTATAAAATAAGCATATGAGTAAATACCATCCCTACTGTCTAGTATGATAGCAGATCTAGAATGTTTTGGAAACATTTTTTTTTGTATCCAGGCTTTGAAAGCCTCTCACTATAAAGGGAATAATGGTCAGTATCATGTACTGGCAAATTCTTCAGGAGAATCTCTTGGAATCTTATGGTGGAGGACTTTCAGTTAAATCACAATTTTATCTATCAAAAAGACAAGGAGCCAAAACCAACACACAAATACTTTAATTGAGAGAAATTTTAAGGTCTGGACTGGTTGTACCAAGTCAAAGGCCAGATTTGAACCCCATTGAAAATCTGTATTGAGATCAAACTGGTGATACACTGCATTCTGTTCATCATCATTTTTGGCTGGATTGGAACAATTTTACCATTGGCATTAAAGGAGAAAGTATTTTGCTCTTGTAAGGACTGCAAACTATCAGTGAGGCAGGAAATATTAGTCAAGAACTAGTGAAGGATTGTCAAATTGATATAGAATTTTTGAAACAATTTTTGCATTTTGTTCTTTTATTGAGAAATGTTAGATACAAAGTATGCTACTTGATGCAAAACTTTACCCATTTAAGAAAGATTTGATTAATATGCAATTTTTCTTCAGCAGACTTTGTAACCTATTGAAAAATCTAAGAGCTTTTATAAGGAAAATATTTAAAACCTCTTCACTAAAATTCCATATGTGAAACTTATATTGTGTCCAATTTACATTGAATGAAAATCTGTTCAAACATCTTTGATCTCTGTTAAGCCATTCTTTATAACTGAAATAAAATCTCAAGTGTTGGGGAATAAGGTTATCCAAGGAAAATTTCCTTACTGATTATACTTCAAAATTAAAATAATTTCAAAGATAGCTTGCCTTTTGTTAAGTTTTGCCAAGATTTTTAATTATATAAACTTACATTAACGTATGCTGTTTTAATGAAATTTAAATGCCACACTTTGTTTTCAAGTGTTTTACTTATATATATTATATATATGTGTGTGGCCTTGTGCCACATCTAAACTAAGCTTAGAAAATCACTAGATATGTATGTATATATATACTCTTTTACAAGGTAATGAATTCTATCTACTTAAGAGCCTTCTATTTTGTTCATTGTACTGATTGATAAGTTTATCATCATATTAATCAGCCATGTTTTGTGTTTTGAATCAATTCATTGTACTGATTGATAAGTTTATCATCATATTAATAAAAGTGGAAATTGAACAATTTGATTTTTGATTTGGCAGATAAAAAGAAATTCAAATATTAATTACACATGATAGCAATTTTATTTGCAAACACTGGTAATCATCTTTCAAATATTCCATTGAAGTTCCCTAGAGATGTACACATCTGGCTTTGAAAACAACAATGAAACAAATGCCATAGTCTGCATCATAATATAATATCACCTCTTCTGTCAAAGTTTTTATTTCATAAATTATTTATTCATCTTTTTTACTGTAAAACTCTAAGTATTTACATGTTGATTAATTCTTATCAACTTGAAAAGACTTTATTTTTCAAGTTGCCTTTTACTTTCACAGGCGATTATGTAAATCCAGTACAAATATTAGGAATCATTAAAAAGTCCAGCTTCCTCTTACATTTATAAAAATCTTGCTTTTTCTTGTCACTTAACATTACTTATCCCATGTAGCTTATGGCCATATCACATTGAAACATTCGTTCCTATATGAACACTGAAGTGTCGAGCCTGGTCAGTAGCTAGATGGGTGACTGCTTGGGAATACCAGGTGCTGTAAGCTTCGATGTGTGGGTGGTGGAATAGATAATGACTGAATTGTTAATCAGATAGCCAAGTTCAAATTCCCATTGGGTTTGTTATATTCACGTAAGTGCAAATAATCTTGGAAAAGGTGTGAATCTACTGCTTCTCCTCCAACTATGGGTTAATTAGTAAGACTTGTACAACTAAAAACAAAAATAAGATAAAAATTGCGTACAAAATATTTAGATTTTGGCATTAAAATAACCCAGGAAGGTTGATATACCACTAAACATAAGCAACCAACCATATTGT